TCAATGATTCATGTGATCATCACCTTCATCAAAACATAGCAAATAGACCTATTATCTTGATTTTGACGTAGACTGAACCGATCTGAGAAATATAAGTGAGTTTGTATCTTTTTGATTGAAAAAGAAAATGTTTGATGATTTAATGAAACATGGTCTACTCTCACGTCGTTTATATTTCATCCAAAACGCTATTTCAAACGATTTACTCCTTTTGTTTTGCCAACTTTCTCCTGGTATTTCTAGTGAATTGATCTTCTTTGTCATGAAAACGTTAATTTCTACTGGAAAAAGTCGATCTTAACATATTATAGCATATGATGTTATATTACTAGTGCTTTGTGGAGTCGAACATTTTAACTTTGAAATTCAACTCTCATTGTAAAGGTTTTTACTCTCGAAGCTTCAACTTCATCGACAAGTTCATCAGCATTTTCTGTTTGGCTTTGATACATTCTGAAATTTTTTTCTGGCATCAAAAAATATCGTTACTGAGAAATAAAACACTTTGGATTGTAAAAAGATCGATGTGTTTCTGTTTTCATAGAAATATTCTAACAGTTTGACGTTTCGCATCAATGATAAGGATAGAAAACAAACTATACCTATGTTATCCACAATGAAAATATCTGCTGAAGAATCTAATTTTGAAATTCCTAAACAACAACTGCTAGATGCCGTCGACACTTTCAGTAATTCTGATATTATAGAAAGTTTTTTGGACTAGTCTATTTACGTTTTTTGTTCTATTTGTGATTATCAATATCTCTAATGTTTTTGTTTTCTTAAACTTTATTTATGAAACTTCAAAGTAGTATTTTTATTTTCGCTACTTAATATAAGAAGGGAAAGTTATTAGTATACAAAAGTAAAACGATTTGAATGTTTTTCAAATGTAAATCCGATATTAACTTCGCAAAAGTATCCTTTCAATTACTTCGACTTGGGCTCTGATTTGAAAAAACTTTCTTTTTTTGATTACGGTTCCAGCTCTGCCGAAGTCACAATTAAGTTTCGTAGTTGTTTATACATAATCCTATAAATGGCGTTGCCATATTTTGCTAAAAGTGTGAAAACAAATATTCATTCAGAAAGATATTTTTTTTAAAAATCTAAGCAGAAGAACTACGATTCTGGTGACAAGCATATAATCATATTACATATCCACAGACTTAGATTCATTTGATTTAATTGCATATATGTCCAGTTGGCATGTTCTATTTCGCATAAAGACCAAATAAAAACCAATCATACAAACACGATAGGGATCGAATCTGTATTGTCCAATAATCAATAAACTGCTTCACTATAATAATTAAGCTATTTTAAGCATCATTTCAGTTACAAAACTACATAGTAGACATTTTTCAACATATAAATAAACTAGGACAACAGTAATTGTATAGATCATTCTCAGCCGTTCGCTTTACAAGTACTTGCCCTTTTTCCAAACCAGCTTAGTTTATTCTATATATTATTCGTATGGTGATCTCATATCGTTGTTGTACTGACAGGCAGCTTATTCTCTAAGTATTCATTCATATCTTGCTCATTCTATCTCTCTGTACAATATTTCACATGTTGATCCTGTTGATTTCATTTTTATGTATTCTTCTGGTTTCCTTTCTCCACATGATCTTCCAATGACCGTTTTATCTATCGTTCATTAAGCTCTTCATCTTGCATATTCTTTTCGTTAAAATGTACAGGAATAAACTTATTGGATTGTTGAACAAGATATTTGAAATTCAATGCGATACTATCTATGTAATAACTATCGAGAAACTATACCGCTGATTTGTTTTTGAAGGTGTTGCATCATGATGCATTGTATCCGAATGGGTGAATAGTTCACAAATCTGTTTAAACTGACAGAATTGAGTCGTTCTTTACGCACATTGATAGTACTGATAGGTCTGACTTGTCCGTACTAGCCACACAGTACAAATCAGTCTTGGCTATGAAATAAGCTTTTATTAGTAAAATATATTCTGAAACTGTTATCTTCTCGATTAATTTGGATTTTTTCTAATAAATAATTCGAGTTTGAATAGAAAACACTCTTTGCGTTCCTTTATAGCTGGAACCGAGAGTCGTAAGCACTACCGTCATTTCTTATGATTACCGCGGTATACCAGTAGTAGTTCAAACAAACATGCGACATGGACAGACTTCATATGATGACAAATCGAAATAGCACTCTAATAATGCACTCAGTATCACTATCATATTATTGAAGAAATGTTTACACACAATTGAATTATGTCTAACTTTAGTACCCGCAATGGAAATAGTTTTGCATTGCAAATTCAAATTGGATGTTGTATGTTGAATGACTCTCAGATCATAACTCGAATGTTTCATGCTAATGGAATATTTCTTGGAATTTCAAAGAATTCGTACAATAAATCATCGATTTTTTTCAACTCTCTTCGTTCTATTGGCTCTGTTTATCGTTGGTGGTGGAAGGTCGACAATATCATAGATTGAAACTATTTGAGATATTCAACTAGAATATCTCTTTTTTTTCAAACATGAGTATATAAAAAATTTTCTGTATTATCCTTGTTTTCTTAGTTTTATAAAAATGAATAATTTCTATTACCGTTGATATATCTATTCTTTTCATTTGTATTTATGTAAATTACATCTTTCAATTCTAATGATTATATATTGAGTGATATGATAAAAATCAATGTTTGATGTCTCTAAGAATATTCTAATTTTATTGAAAAAAGAAGATGAACAAGAATAAGTTCGACAATGTATTTCAGAAAATAAAAACAAAGAAAAAAAATTTTAATTTTCTTTCATGTTACTTTCCATTTCATACGAATCACATGTTTCTCTGTTCTTTTACGCACTGAATCATCTTTCGGTAAACGTTTTGCTCGAATTTCTAATGCTTTCTCGAAATATTCCAAAGCACGTTGATATTCTTTCACTGCTTCATATTTATGTCCTGCACTACTTAAACTTGTTGCAAGATCGAGATGATCGAAGGATAATACTCGTTCTCGCATTCTTAACGCTTTCAAACACAATTTAAGTGCTTTCATTTTGTCTCCCTTGGCACTGAGCACAGTAGAAATGTTATTAAGAGTCATAGCAATTGATGGATGACCTGGAGGAAAACACTTTTTTTTTATAGCTAGTGCGAGATCATAATGTTGAAGAGCTACGTTATATTGACGTTTACTATGATAACAATCAGCAATATTATGAAGAACATTAGCAATATCAGAATGATCTTCAGGTAAACATGTCTGAAACATTTGAAGAGATGAAAGACAAAAATTAAATGCTTTTTCAATATCCTTGGTCATTAGATAAACGAGACCGATAGAATTCAAAGTTTCAGCAATGTGAACATGAATTTCAGGTAAACAAGCTTGTTTGATCTCTAATGCTTGTTCATAATAATTGAGTGCTTCAATATATTTGCGCAAACCTTGATAAATCGATCCGATATTATGCAGACAATGTGCTATGTCGAGTTGACATGAATCATTCAATTCTTCCAGTACTATTTTGGCTTCATTGCAGTGCTTAAGTGCTTTCTCATAATGTCCTTGTTCCGTTAGAACATGACTCATATTACGCAATACACATGCTAAATCTCGAAGCAAAAGTGGATGCGACTTTCTCATAAGTTGATAAGCTGCGTCAAAATGATACATGCCTTGATCAAACTCAGCGTTGGCCTGATAAACTAGACCAAGTTGATTATGAATATAAGCAAGATTTTCATTAACGGGATCTTTTAATAATTGTTGAAAATAAGTTTGAGCTGTCTGATAATGACCCATCCGAGTCAATAGCGATCCAAAGAACATTGATATACTATCTCCTTGCATTTCTTTTTTCATTTCTTCAATGTACTGTCTGGCAATTTCTCGTCCGTCACCTGTCATACTTAAACAAATCTTCCACATATTATCTTCTTCACTCACTGTCTGAACTATAAAAACAGCGCCTAAATCAAATAGAATTTCTTGTTCATCGGGAAAATTACTGAAACTCGTTATATCTGCAAAAATAGAACAGTCATTTTCATCATTTTGACATTCAATTTCAAACAGTACTGGAACAGAATCAACTTGTTTTTTACTCTTTACAGCAAAATTAATTGCTATGCAACGCGAACGACTTGTGGATAAATAACCATTAATTGAAATAAGTTTACCCTCGTTTGATCGAAATTCTTCAAGTTCAGTTAGTGTTAATCGAGCACCGCGATAGACCGTCGTGATTATCATCCCGTTATTAGGATCTTCCATCATCTTCTTATATTCATTCGCCAATGCCGATGATAGATCCGCAATAAAAAAACGAAAAGTATGCAGTTGTTCAACATCTTCTGTACGCAATGCTTTATTCACCATTTTATAGACAAAAGTCTCACGTGTGTACCATTGAATACATTCTTTACTGGTATAATATTTTTCAAATTCATCGATTGATTGTAACTCTTTTTCATTGTCTCGATAGTAATTACGACATGCAGTGATCATTTGTTGTTTGGCTCTATCGTTTGAAGGAAAATGAAGAATAACATCGTGGAACAATTGAGACCTAAGAATAGAGAAGATAGTATACGGAATCTTATCAAAATAGTCATTTTAGAAATGTAATGAAATTGTCCTTTGACGAAGATTGTAACAAGTCTAGATTTTTCACGGTCGCTATCATCTATTCAAACTAATAATGAAAAAGTAGATATTATTAAGATTTCAAGGATGGATTCTCTACAGACGGATCATTCAAATGATGAAAGGTGATAATATGAATTCATTTTTTAGAAAAAGTTAACCTATTTAAGTTCGACAGAGATTTCTAACAGAACCACGAAAAGAGGAAGAGTATATCGACAATCGATCATTCTTAAATTCATATCAGTAATGAACCGATTCGGACTATTTGATTATCACTGACGGTTTCATTGCTGACTTTTGAGAATCTCAAACAAGATTCTTACCAAAGAAACTCCGCT